AACATTCTATCTGTTCCCATATATCAGAGCATCACCAAGTAATTCTTTCTCTGCACAAATACCTATGGTATCAATGTCTACATATTCTTCAGTGTCTTTAAAGATGTGTCCTTTGGTCTTGTGTTTAATTTCACTTACACTGTAGAGATGGGGGTTAGGTAGGAGTAGTTTTCAAAGGTACAAATAGTAACCTTAGACTAAATGAAAGCTAGAAACCCCAAGAATATTTTTCCAGCATGACTGCAGTTGGGGAAATAATAGGTGAGGTGTTAGATGACAGTCAGAAACAAACATCACCTGTAATTTTACTGATTCACTTTGCAGCTGCCTCTGCTGACATTGCCTAATGCTGCATCAGAACCTGCAGAAGGGCAGAGACTTCTTGACCAAACTCTTCCTTTCGAGCCATCCCTACTCAATAAATCTTTTTCTACGGTGCATGAAAGTGAAGCCTTCAATAAATCTAGTCATTCTCCAGCTTAAAACCCAATAATTGACAATCCTTTTTTAATACATTTTTAATTGTAAAAATATTGTACAGACAGGTTACAGTTACGTGAGCATTCTTGCCTCCTCCTTTGTTTATCCCTTGCCATCCCTTCCCTCCCATCTCCACAACTACACTGCCCCCACACCGAAGTTGTAAAGTTCATTTTCAGCATAGTGTCTTGTGCATCTAATTGTTACAATGGGTCTACCTGCGTCCTTATTTAAGGATTTTGTTTTTTCCTTTTCCCTCCCAGAATTAGAGAAATGTATATACAAGATGCAGGGCACCGACATCAAATACAGTGAAAACAGGAGTTATACCATTGGGGAGGAACATACAAAGAAACAAAAAATCACATGGTACATTATAAATACCTTAGAAACAATAGCAAGAAAGAAAAAAACACTTGTGTCCCTATCTTGAGGCTCATTTCACTTTCACATCATCTTATCTGGTCATATGTACATAGCTTTTGACCTCTGCTTGTCCCAGACATATACTAGTTATTGCAATTAGGGGAAACCATGGGACCTATGTTTCTTTGGGCCTGGCTTACTTCACTTACTATAATTTTTTCCAAGTCTTTCAATTTCCTAACAAAAGGGGCCATGTCATTCTTTCTGATGGAATTCCTTTGTGTGTGTGTGTGTGTGTACATATATATACATATACATATATATATACACACACATATATATACATATAACTACATATGTATATATATATGCCACATTTTCTTGATCCAACAATAATGGACAATTCTATCCAACAAATTAAGAAGGCTTCCTTAACCCTTCCTGAAAATGCCTGACTTCCTCTCCATCCGCAATCTCTTCAGTCCCTTGAGCAGGTAGTGCTGTCCTTTGCCTTGAGACCACCCCCATGCTAAGCCTTCCCTTCTTCCCAAATCCATCTATTTTGTGCAGAGTGAACATGGAACAGGAACACATTTTGAGGAAATGTTGCATGAGAAGAAGTGGCTTTAAAAAAAAAAAGAAAATTTCTCTCATGCTTCCTGATTTGAGGAAATTAGACTGAAAAACAACCTGAGGTTAGCAATTTATAACAGAAGGTGAATGCACTCAGTTACAGATGCTACAGAGAGTACTACATCTCATCAAGTGCACATTCTGGCAGAAAAGAGCAATTAAAAGATTATATTAGATCCTTTCAGATCGAGATCATTATCAACAAGGCACAAAGTAGACCTGTGCAGGAAGGGGGTGTCCAGTTTAGGTTGTATGATTCAAATGTTTTTTTTTCAAACAAAGATCTACCAAGGTAGGAAGTATTCTTGGCCTGGAGAAGAATGTAGGAAAAATTGCCAGGCAGATGGGACAATAGACACAAGAGATCATGAGGTAGAAATGATTTGATGTGTTCAAGGAACAAGAAGAAATGCCAGCCGAAGTGATGCTGAGACACTGTTGCAGAACTTCAACTGTGAACCGGGCAGGTCCAGCAGGCCTGAGCAACACATCCCCTGTTCAGTCCCACTGCCAGTGAAAGGCTCTGACAGGCTTTAGAGCTGGGAATAATGTGATTTCTGGTAGGTTCTGGCTGCAAGGTCCAGAGTAAAGAAGCAGACCGGTGTCCATGCCATCTCCACTCGTCCTTCTGTTAGTTTTGAGCTCCATTTCACAAAGCACTGAAACAGGGAAATATTGAAAACAGCATGTCATCTTTTTAATGTTAACATTCCCCTTCATGTGTCACAACAAAGATTTCTGTACTTTAAGGACTCACATGATTGGTGGAAGAAGTGCTTTCGGGAAAGGAAGAGGATCAAACCAAATAAGGGCAGGCAGTTGTGAGGGTAGAGAGGAAGGAAGTGCTGGGGAAGAGGATCTACAAGGGAAATGAGTTTGACTCCTGGAGTCTCAGGGGTAGCAGGAGCTGAGGGGTCTTGCCCCGGGTAGGGGGAAGAGGAAGGGGAACGCTGTGGAATTCAAGAAGTGATTAGACTTGCAGTCAGAAAATCTGACTTGGAACCTGGGTTCCACTCATTGACTAATGAGTTTTCCTTCTCTAAGTCTTGCTCATCAATTAAACTCAAACAGCTGTAGTATGTGACTGATAATGAGCATGACCAGATGTGAACATGTTTCTTAGCTCTGTTGGTTATCACCACAATCATCATTTCTGATGACCGCTCTCAAATTGTTCATGTAGGTCATATTTTCAGAAAAATAGAGCTCAATAAGTCACAGTTGTGAAACTTATTCCTATTCTAAATAGTAGGAGAAAAACGGAGAAAACTGAGACCTCAAAACCAAAGGAATGAGCTCTGGGTATATTCTGTCCACAGCTGGAGTGAGCAGCAGGCTGCAAGTTAAGTCATGTGACCCCTAAAGGACCATTCTATGCAGTCATCCAACTGGACAGCTCCTATCTCTGAGCATGTTCTGCTAAGAAAATACTTACAATATCAGTACCTCTTTGTGTCTCCTACTTAGAACCTACTGACTACTGACTACAGACTATTTCTGAAGGGAAACTCTTCTGTAACACCTTGCAAAAACAATGGGAGTTTTATTTCCCATAATATTGACAAGTATATTTCTCAGAACTATAAATACTGGGTAAATGATACACACTACCTACAAGACTTTCAACAGAACTCTGGATTACAGCATATCCTACATTTTGGGTTAAGATACGTAAAATGTATCTGAATATGAGTGAGAAATTCATTCCTATGTATTTCAATATATTGGGGATATAGAGGATGGAAGCATGTCTTTTATAAAGTGATTCTGTAAAAAAAAAGACCTAAGGATATTAGACAATTTAGGTAGTCACACACAATGAAGATATATATTTTGAAATCTGTATTTGTCTTTAACTTTTTCACTCTTGTTCAGACATGTGATGAGCCATCTCTTTGATCTACTGGAATCTCCAAATGAGACCTGAGAGACAATCTCTGCACTGAAATTTCCTTACATGTCCTGTTGGTGACCAAAATGAGTAAAGGCAGAATTGCACAAACAAAGCTTTCACGAATACTTTTTCTTGCAAATAATGAAAAACAAAAGTCTAAATCAAAGACGGAATTTCAAAAAAATAGAAGGCTGTGGTCAAAACATATACTAAAATCCAAACAGTTTGAGAAGCCAAACTGAAGAGCCATTTGCATGTAGTGAGCAAACACAAAGTAGTAGACACATCTCTCAGTTCTGGAGTATGAATCCCACTTCCTGCCTTAACACTTGACTTTCCTCTCCTTCCACTCCAACCCATTGGGCATTGCATGAGATTTATTCAAGCGAGAACGTTGGGAATCTATTGCCAGCTTTAGTTTGACTTTTTATAAGGAAAAGAGAGAAATGTACAGAGATGCTACAGAAATGGAAAATAGCCAGAGGGAAAAGCTTCCAATCAAAAAAGTAAATTTTGGTGGTACTAGAATTTGAACTTGGGGTCTTTTGCTTCCTATACAGTTGTTCTACCCATTAAGCAACTTGCTTCCAGCTGTTACTTTTGTTGTTTAGTAGTTTGTTGGGTTCCGTTAATTAGAATGGCTGTAATTATTTGACATGTAAGGGAAAGTTGGTATACATCATGACTAAGAAGTTTCTCTACTATAAATAGCTTCTCCACTTGCTGTGAACTTGTTCAATATTTTGCATTTGTGACACAATCTGAAAAGTTTGCTGTGTGCTAAAAGGAAAATATGCAAAATACCTTAGAGTGTAGTACCCCCAATAGAAAGTTTTAATTAGACAGAATGTACCTTTGCTGGAGGCAAGGTAGGGAAGGATGCAAAGAGAGAAGAATTGCCCACCTCACATGAAGGAAACATTTCAACATCATTAACACTGAGACATTTTTGTACTATTCTGTACTATGCAGTGACACCAACAAATATACAAAATAAGTATACCAAAGAATATACAGAAGTGAGGTATTTATGTTTCTGTGTGCATGTGTGTGTGTGCGTGTGTGTGTATGTGTGTGTGGTGTTGGACTAGGTATAGGTGATGACTTGAGAAAGTTGAGCTTATATTTACAGACAAGACACCTTAAGTTTTGACTCAAATATCCAACCAACCTTGCATTCCGGAGAAGTCAGCAGTGGGAAGGCAGGACTCTGGGGGGAAGGGGGGAAGGCAGGCAGGACTCTGGAGGGCAAGTTAGGACTTTGGGAAGGATGGAAGGCAGGACTTGGGTGGGGAGGGGGGAGGCAGGAAAGACTGGGGGGGGGAGAAAGGCAGGACTCTAGGGGGGAAGGAAGGCAGGACTGGGGGGAAAGAAGGCATCCGGTGGGGGAAGGAGGAAGGACTGGGGTGGGGGATGAAGGCAGGACTGGGGGGAGGCAGGCCTGGGGGTCCGGGGTAGGGGGGTCACAGTCATCTTGACGCACGGTTCCCCTGCATGTGGAAGCCGTGTGTAGCTGCGCCCCCCTCTGCGCCCAGGCCGGGCACTGCCCACAGACCTGTGCATGGGTGTATGGGTGTCTTCCCCGCCCAGGAGGTAACCCAGCTCCCCGTGTCTCTCTGGTGTCCAGGATGGGCGGAGCAGCTTCATCGGCCACCAGCTGGGCGGCGTGGTGGAGGTGCCCAACAGCAAGGAGCCGCGCGTGAAGTCGGCGCGCGCCGTGCAGCTCACCTACTACCTCCAGACGCACGGCTCGGCGGCGCAGGACCGGCTCGGGGCCAAGTGGGAGGCCGAGTTCTGCAGGCTGCTGGGCCGGCGCGCGCGCGAGCCCCGCGCGCTGCGCCTCTACGCGCTGGCCTCCTTCAGCCTGGCCCGCGACTTCCACCAGACCAGCGTGCTGGCCCGCACCAAGGTCCTGGTGAGCCTCGTGCTCGTGCTGACCACCGCCACGCTGTCCTGCTCCATGAAGGACTGCCTGCGTGCCAAGCCCTTCCTGGGCCTCCTGGGCGTCGTCACCGTCTGCATCTCCCTGCTCACCGCCGCAGGCATCTTCTTCATCACCGACGGGAAGTACAACTCCACGCTGCTGGGCGTGCCCTTCTTCGCCATGGGTAACTATCTACCTCTCCCACTTCCCCCCCACACCTGGGGACCAGGGTCGGGGGGGGGGGATGAGGAAGCAACTCCCTGGGATTCTCTGTGCAGATTGGTGTTCATGGTCTTTGGTGGGTGTGTGAGGTGCCAATGCTGACTCGGGGTTGTGTCTCTCGGACCTTATGCACACTCAGGGAAAGCATCAAGCTTCTTGGGCCTCACGCGGTCAGGTTTCCTCTTCTGCTTTTCTAATCTCACAGTAGTAAAGTCTCTCCTCTGTTCCTTACAATGGAGTAGGCCGAGGCGCAGAGGTGCGAGCTAAGGACATTCATTCCAGACCTGTTTTAGACAGGTTTTGATCCCCCCCCCCATTGCTTTGACTCATCATTATGGAGTATTTTTATGATGTGGTAAAGAGAATTCTGGAAGCTGCTGCACTCACAGGCTAATGTCAAAGAAGCTTTGTGTCCACCTCATCCTCCATTCTCCCACATCCTTAGGAACTCAGACCTGCCCGCTGCCATCATAAACCCTAATTTTATTCTGTTGCTATGAGGAGAATTGATGAGCATCCTCAAGAACAGTTAGGCCTAGTAGTGAATTTTCTCCCAACCGCCACCCCTACGTCGTGGTCTGTAAACCATCCATGAAAGGTTTCTGGTCTATATTCTTTGTGTGCACATAAGCGTTCTTGAGAAAGAGAAGATAACCTCTGGGACTAAGACTGTGTAAGGACTCACCAACAAGCCTGATGTGTCTTACCAATAACGTGACAATAATGGTGATCTAGAATCCTCTTCCCAGTGTGCTGTGGTTTGGAAAGCGAGGCTCAAGGTGATGAACTCGTCTGAGCAAGAATGTCTTCAGCTAAACCATAATTGCTCTGGGCTTCATAGATTAAAGTAAGGAGTGCATAAGTGTTTTATTATCAAACGCTGAAGATGCAGGTGGTGTGGTCAGCAAAGCTCCCATATAACCTAAGCCTTTTATGTCCACTTTAGCATGTCTGTTCTCATGTAGGATGCCACAAAAGGAAGATTTGTTGGGGGTGCTTTATCCAAACTCATTTATGGCCTTGTTAAGTTAGCTCATCTTGTCGAGCATGCATTTCTTTGGAGGGGGGGAATAGTGGCATATCTTCTAATGTGAAGGGTAATAGAATATAAATAAAGTCAATAACAGATAGTAAACCCTTAATGAGGATAGCAGGTTTTAGTATTGAACCTGGTATGCTAAGTGAATTCAATAAAGAACCGGAAACAGGCACTGGCTTTAAGAAATTGAGTTGTCCTGGACTCTGCATATCCCCCTTAAATGCATATTCATTTTATTAATAAATATAACTTTATGGAAAATTTTATGACCAATTAAGGATGAGCCAGATTAGTTATTTTTTCAGTTCAGTCATGACTTGAAATAATATTATAAGATTTATAAGAATCGTATGGTATGAAGTACAAATGAAACACAGCTCACTCAACATTGACAAACTATACTACATAGTTCCCACTCTAAGACTGTTGGCAAATTAAATAGGTAATAAAAAGGCTTTCCAGGAGAAGGTGGACTTGTAGACTGTGTACAAGTAAGGAGGAAAAAAATCTACCTCTTCGGATGTTACTTTGTAAGCCTGGCTTCTACAAAGTCAGCGTGTTGTTTTCATTCCTTAGACACATAACAAGAACAAGGAGGCCACAGTGATGGAAAATGCCAGTCCCACAGCTCACCCTTTGCACCTTTGTGCTGACCTTTCCAACAAGAAATCACCCTGGGATGTGTAAATGCAGACATGGGCACTCTTGGCTAATGGTGTTCCTGCCGCTCTGAAAGGAACATTTCCACTGTGTTCTGAACATCCAGCAACCAGAGGCCTACAAGCAGAGGCTTGCTGTTCCCTCAAGAGCAAATCTGTTTTCTTGTGTTTCCTTTGGTATATAGAAATGATGATAGCAGTAAAACTGTCAAAATTGAGACCCAGTGAGTGAAAAGAACACCTCACATGATTGGAGAGCCTGCTTGTCATCGCAGTGTTGGTAGCATCCTATGTTACATGGGGTCGTCATGTAGAGTCCGTAGGGCTCCATTCCTCAGAAACAAAAATGAACCATCTGGACTATGCGGTTTGCAAATTTTGAAGTTCCTACGATATGAGGCATTTATTATTGGTTGACATTAGCATTGGATCATTCCTTTATTTAAAAAAAATCTTTTAAGGTGTGTATTAACCTCAAAGCTCTAATACCAAGTCATTTTTGCTGTCTTGCAATCTGAGAAAAGAGACAGACAGACAGACAGACAGAGACTTGAGACTTTAGAATAAAAAATACATTCCAGAGTTGTATACAGATCCATGAAGTTAACAAGACATAGGAGGCTCGAGGCTCTGAAGGTGGTGTGGGCGAATGTGATGTTGAATGTAAATACACTGTATTTAGCAAATATGTATCTATTAGTGACATTGATTGAAAGGAGTCCTGGAATGAAATTTGGATCAAAACTGAACAATTTAAAGTCAATTTGGTGAAAGGAAAACTCCCAACTCTTTTTTTTAACCAACTTCTCTTCCTATCCCTAACTTCTTTGTGGGCTTTCTTTTGTGCTCCATTGTATGTCAAAACTGAGACCACTCGCCCTGTTACCGCTGCTGTCCATTTTCCAAATGGAGCTAACACAGCTGCCCTATCTTTGACCACTTGTATTCCTTCTGAACACAGTAGCTCATTATTTCTTTCTCTTCATTGATCTAGTTAATATCCCCATTTCACAAGCATGTGTGTGTGTGTGTGTGTGTGTGTGTGTGTATGCATATATATTACCAGAAATATTCTACACACTTGTATATCCATTGACAGCTTTCATACTTTGGGTCAGGTATTTTCAAATTTATATTGGTCAAATTTATATTGGCCAGATGATTCCTTCCAAGTTTGGATTAGGAAAGAAGATGACTATAGATATGTACTACTTCTCTCGACAAATGCTCAAAGTCAGCACAAAGTTCTGATGACACCCAAAATTATTGCATTTAGTTTTAATCTAGTACTCTTCCTCTATCTAGGCATACACCAATAATAGGCCACTAATTAAATGTATAAGTCATTGTTGGCCTTACTTTAAATTCGGTTTGTTTTCTGTTGACGTGCTTCCTGTCTCTGGCAGCAGGAGTGCAGGGTGATGTCTCTCTCTCTCTCTCTCTCTCTCACACACACACACACACACAGTTGCAGGGATGCAGTGCTGTCTGGAGCTGCACCTTGCTGAGAGGCTGCTGATGGTAACCATGACAACAGTCACCTTGGCTAACAATTGAATTTTCCTGCCCCTTTTGAGTTATCACGTGGTGAGGGTCTCATGCTAATCATGCCGGCATCACTGGACACACAGAGATGATCTCTTTATCTCAAGGATTCCAGATATGATGTGGGATTTCAGTCTTCTTAAACCATCTCCACCCATGTACTGCTGAGCCCAGCTATGTTGAAGAACTCGAGGCTGTGAAGGAAAAGACATTGAACAGAACTGGCCAAGTTGTTACCTTTGTGGATTTTCCACTTCAGGCCTTCAGAGGGGGAAAACTGGTCAATACAATAAATAAATATAGAGTATTTTCCACTGCAGATACACATTTTAAAAAAAAGTGAAGCCAAAGCAGGATAAAGAATAAAAGAGCATGGACAGCCAGTTGAAAGAAAAGGCCTTTTCTCAAAATTAAAATGAAAACTGAGTGCTCAGAGAAGGGAAGGAAAGAGCCACACCCCAGTCTGAGGAGAGCCTGCTCTGTCCAAGAGAACTGTGTGTGGTAAGGAAGGCTTCGGTTAGGAAATGGCGGAAGAGCGAGGAAGGGGTTGGCTGAAGCAGTAGGCAGCTGCCCTGGAGACAGAAGAAAAGCTTGATGAGGTCACAGAGGAACAGATAGATGGTGGAATGCACCGAGAAGTCTTTTAATTTGGCGAGATAGAAAGATGTTTGAATCCGCTATGGAACGGGAGGGTGTGGCCTGACAGTTTAAGTCTAGCTTTAAGTGTGTTATGCACAGTAACCTGCAGTCAGCAGGAATGTTCCATAAGGTAACTTTTTAGGATGTGCTGGTAGCCAGGGGCAGTGGCACAGGTCTGGAATCTTATTCAGGTAAAGATGCAGGTGGATCACAGTTCAAATCCAGCCTGAGACATAAATGCATGACACCTTCTTCTTAACGAACAAGGTGGATGTAACGCTTCGTGCCTGTAATCACAGCCATAGAAGACGCATAGATGGGAGTCCCAGGCTGGCCTGCGCCAAAAATCAAGACCCTATCTGAAAAATAATCTAAAAAAAAAGATATGATTAAAGAAGTTCATGTGAAATCTGTCTGCGATATCATGGGGGCAGAGAAGGCCTGGGTGCCATGATGATGGTTCTCAGGGTTTCGACAGAGACAAAAGAATGAACTGACAGGATTGACGGAAGGATAGGCAGACCATGTAAGAGAAAGAGGAATGAAGAGAGTTAACTCCAAGCTTTGACCCTGGAGAACAGTCGTCCTATGATATGATAGGAAGGCCCTGGAAAGGTATTTTAGGGATATCGAAAGTTTACTTTTGTATCTGTTAAATGAGATCGCTGTTAGGCATCAAAACTAAGGACTTTTTTCTAGGCAATCATGTAGCACAGCTCCAGAGTCATTATCTGGATCTGGAGAAACAAATTTGTGATTTGTCCTAACCTCGCTCTCATTTAAAGCCTCATATTCAAAAAAAAAAAAAGAGCCCAGCTAGAAATACAAGTATAGCTAGAGATGAGACACTGAGAGTTGCCGCCCAGCTCATTCTAAATGCTCCAAGTCTGAGAAGAACTTGGTTCTGCAAACAAAGGGAAGGGTCAGGCAGAGGATTGCCTACTGAGCAAAGGAAAGAGGGGATTGGAAGACAGAGCAAGATCGCCCTGGTCCCAAGAGCTGCTAATCCATTGTGCACAGTGAGAACTGAGAAGTGGCCGTTTGATTTATCAATCTGCAGGTCACTGATGCCTTTGACAA